TTTTGTTGTTCCCTTTAGATACTTGAAAATTCTCTTTACTGCATTCCAGTGTATTTTGTTGGGTTTTTCTAAATATTGACTGGCTTTGTTTACTGCAAATATAATGTCTGGTCTAGTGCCCACTGACAAATACATTAAACTTCTTACTTTGTCGATATGGGAACTCGAATTTTTCCTTGTACCCTCTTTTATGTGCTACGCACAGTTGATGGTTTTGGTCTGCTGGGATTATTACTCCATTAGCATTTTCCATCCGAAATCGTTGCAAAATTTTCTTGGTTGCAAAAATATAGAACCATCTACCAGTCGTTCAATCTGTAATCCCAAATATGTATTTATCTCATTAGATGTTACTTCAAATTTTTTACGGAATTCAGCTAACTTTTTTATAGATAATTGGTTTATTGCATTAATTAGTCCATCATCGATATGAATCACTAGAATCAAAACGATCTCAATCGTTTCCATTTATAAATACACAATAGTTTGCACAGGTGAACGTAAAATCATGTTTCTTTAATATTGCTATAAAACGATGAATCCAACATTTTGATGCCTGCTTTTAACCATATAAACTACGATTTAACTTGCAAACACGATCAGTTTCATTCTCGTATTCCTTTGGTTGCTGCATATAGATGACCTCGTTGAGTTTTCCATGAAGAAAAACTGTCGTGACGTCAAATTGTTGTAAATACATTTTATTCGAAGCTGTAATAAATAGGATAGTCCTTATTGAATCGAATTTAGTTACAAGACTAAACGTTTCATGATAGTCAATTCCAGCAGTTTGTTTAAAACCTCTAGCAACGAGTCTTGCTTTGAATCGTTGTATGTTTCCATCGCTATTTATTTTCAGTTTATAAGTCCATCGATTATCTATGTCTTGATGATCTGATGGCGGATTTACTAATGTCCATGTTTGAGTTTTTCTCAAAGAATCAATTTNNTCATGGTTTCTTTTCATTTGACTGCGTTGCTACATATGATCGCGTCATCATAGCTTTCCAGTTCATAGTGTGATCACAATATTTCCATATGTTCTATCTTTGGCATATTTTATTTCTATCTCTCAAACATCGGTCTTGTTTGTATTCTGGATCGTTTGATTCTTCATCTGAATTTACTTGCTCGTTGTTTTCCAATTGAATAACGGTTTTTGATTCGACATTTATTCTGTCATCTTTCTGATGTTCAAAGATTATAGTATTTGACTCTGATTCCCTTTTTTCATTTGAATTAATTTCGCAGAGCTGATCTGTGAATCTTACATCTCTATGTATTTTAACTTCATTTTAACTGTCCTCTTTCAGGAAGTCAGATCCGGAATCCTTTTGTGTTTTCATCATATCCAACGAAAATACTTTTTTCGGCTTTGACATTTTCGTCTTTTCTCTTTAGGAATATGAAAATATACTTCTTCTCCAAAGATTCTGAGACTTGAAATGTTCGGTCTCTTCTTGAGCCACAGATTAATAGATGTTACTTTTTTCTCCCCACTGGTTCTATTTAAAGTGTAAACAGTGTAATTAACTGCTTCAGCCCACATTTTGATTGGCAATTT